TGAGTTTCATTGACGATAGTTCTACTTATTAAATAAAAAAAATGTAATAGTAGATATCTACCGTATTTTTCGCCGTATAAGACGCACTTTTTCTTCTCCAAAACTGGGGGGGGGGGAAAGTTGGTGCGTCTTATACGGCAAATACACATTTTACATGCATTAAAACTGCCCCCAACTTTGTGTGGCGCTTACTCGCAGTCCTTTCCTTATGCAGTGTGTGCTGCGGGCTGGATTTGGGGCACGTACTGCGGGCTGTGGTGACTTCTGTGACCCTCCCTGCACGGCCAGGCTGTGTGTGTTCGGGCTTCCCTCTCCCTCCTATAGCGCGCCATGCCCCCCTCCCGACAGTCTAACCATGTGCTGCACGGGCATCATGCTGAGCTTACTGCCGGTACCTCCATCCATCAGCGCAGGCTGCGTCTCCTCATGTCTCCCGGAGCAGTCTCACTCCTTGCTGGGCAGTGTGGGCACAATTTCGCCGCTTCTCTGCATATCTCCCGGGCACCCGATCAATCCATGCTGCCCTGAAATGTCCGCATGTCTGCCTCCTGGTTCCGCCTCCTCCAGCCAATGCTTACTGATGTCCGTACTCTGCCCCGCCCCGCTGATTGGATGCCCGTGATTGATGGGCAGAAGGATTGCTGGGCGGATATGTTACATGGTTGACATAAAATTGTTCTTAAACTGCTGTTTACTTTATACAGTTGATATAAAATATTTTAGTACAGTATTTGGTTCAGAATCTTTTTTTTCTAGATTTTCCTCCTTTAAAATTGGGTGCGTCTTATATGCCGGAGTGTCTTATACGGCAAAAAATACGGTATCTAGTATTAGTAGTAAATTTCTAGCTCGCAAAGCTGATTTCATTTATTTATGGTTATGAACTTTACTTGGTTAGAATGTAAATATTCAAGGAAATAAACAAATTATCTGGTCTTGAGCTTCAAGAAATGTCAGAGGGGTGGGGACAAAATGGCGGCATTGTGATGACAGAAAATAACAAAATATTTTAAAAGTGGGATCAAAATCATCTGAAATTTTATTTTTTCAAATCTGCTTTAAAATTCATCACAATAAGTGTGAAGGTGTTTAGTACACAAAAACTATTGGAATATATGCAGAATATTAGGCTTTTTTGTTCTCAAAATTTTTCTATATATAGTCTATATCACCAAAACTGTCCATGGCCATTATTTTCTTTGTTTATTGGCATTTTCCACTTTATAAGCGCCACGTAAGACTTACAGCGATAAAACTTGGTAGAATTATGGCCAGGCATGATATCTAATATGAAAAAAAAAAAATTTAACCTTTGTTCTCTATCCTAACTTCTGTATTGGTGAAAACAAAAACATGATATTTTCATTATAAGTAAAATAAACGTAGTAAACTTTAAAAAAAAAATCCACATTAAGCATTAATTAGTCCATTGTCTATAGTAACTGATAACACAACTTTAAAACTTCTCACATTTCATTCAAAAGTGTTATAAATTCCAAGTGCGACATATGTAAGAAACAAACATTGAAAACGCGATCTCAATGTTTTTTCTTCCGCACTTCTGCTTTTTTTTTTTTTTTCTCATAGCTACAATCTCTACCACTCTAGAATCTAGACTTTAGACCACTAGCTGCTAACCAAGATTTCTTAATTGTATAGTAATAAATCTTAGAATCCATCTATAGAATAGGTGTAGATCTAGTTTAATTGGGCTAAAATTAAAACAATGATTAGAATCATTTCTGTTTAAAAAGTCTGATACAAACTTCTTTTTGTATGTAAATAATTTTTTTTTTAAAGATTTAATTCTAATAAAGCTTCATTTTTTATATTATATATAGATCTAATTTTTTTTTAAAGATTCAATTCTTATAATGATAATAATATCTTATTTGTTCAACTCATCATATAGATCTAGATCTATATTAAATGTACAAATGTACACTTTCCTGTAAATCCAAATGAAAGGTTAATAAATAGTCTTAATTTAGTGTTTTACTGTCATGATTCTTTTGATTTGCTTTTATTAATGTTTTTCTGTTCATTTTTTAATTTACAAACACACATGCACACATAATAGCTTCACAAAAAAAAAAAATTAACTTTCAATCTTCATTGGTGTGTAATACACACTATTTTAGTATGCTAAGCTCAACTAACAAGGAACAGTACCTAAACAGATTATTACCACCCCAAAAAAAAGTCTTGATAAAAAAAGAAATGCTTGGATGCAATACCCCTCCCCCCATTGGACCATATCGCACTGAGCATACTATACGTACAAAACAGTTGAAGGCTAACAGTATTGCTTTAAAAAAATTCTATTTTATATTAATGTTTTATATAAATTGTTTATCATTATATATAATATTTATATCTCTAGCGACTTAAGAATGAAGCTTCACTTTTAACTTTGGGGGATGAGTATTCTACAAAAGATGCTAGAGAACCAGATAATCGTAGGAAGAATAGATATCGAGATGTCAGCCCATGTAAGTATTTGTATATGGTGTCATATATTATAATATAGTTTAATATGGACATCACAAAATCAGTATTATTTATCTTGCTGTCCTTGTTTATAGATGCGATGATGCTACTTTGTTAGTACTTAGATGCCGGTCGTCTTTTTAAAGCATTGAATTAGTTCATGTATTTCTGTATTTCCTACTTTAAACTATTTAAAACTGTCATTGTTGACTAAACATGTGTTAGTTGGGTTATACCTTTTATAAACAAATTTAATGTGGGATAAAAAAATTTTTAAAATATTTATTATCAATAATTAAAATAAGAACTTAATCTCTTCATCACTAATTCTCCAACTTTGGGGCTGTCTAAAAATATGGCACAGCCTATTCATTACTATAGAAATAAATTTTAAAGCACTTCAAACACTTTAAAAAAAACAGCGCATCCCTGGTACATTTTTTTGACATGATAAGTTTGGTCTCTTGCTTGAAGTCTGTGCTTAACAATTCTTTTTTTTTTTTTTTTTCTATTTTCCACATGATCTAAAAAATTATTTTTTTTACCTTTATTTAAACAGATGACCACAGCAGGGTTAAAATATCAGGGGAATGCGACTACATCAATGCCAGTTTTATTGAAGTACCAGAAGCCAACAGAAAGTATATTTTAACTCAGGTTAGTGAACTCCTTGATCTCAAAGAAGGCTATGTCCTCATCTTTTGTCTTATTGAATTACTTTTTAAGTAATCCATTACATTAATTGAACCAGTGGATAGTTCAAATCTTTGGCAGGGCACTTTAATAACATTATACCTATTAGCCTAGACTAGATAAACACTTATGTATAACAAAATTATTATTTTTTTTAACTCTTTCTCTCCATAATTATATATAACACAAAGTAAAGTTTATGAAATCAAACATTAATTTAATTGAATGAGTTCAAATCAACGATGATGTTGTCAATTAGGAAAGAAAGAGTTAAAGCATGTCTGTTATCTATATGATAAGATAGGAACAAACTTAAAATTGTCATTGAAATAGATGTAAATGTAATTTAAATAGGTAACAAAATATGAAGTGAAAAGATTTCAGTTAGTAGTCAACACACTTGTCTTGCTGCCTTGTTAAACAAATCATGTTGTTGTTTTTTTAAAAAGTACTTTGACTGACAAGAGATATTTTGTTTTGGACTTGTTCCCCTTTCAGACCTTGCGATCTATGGAGCGGATGATCTCAATTTCATCTGTTTATGTTGTCCACGGTTAACGAGGGTGTCATGTGGTCAGCACAATGACCAACCGCCTTTACTTTTCCCCAACTAATGTCAGCTGATTAAACTCAAAGGCACCCTAAAGATCTAGAAATTTAAAATCCCACTATTCGAACAGGGGATCCTTCAAGAGCTTTACCGCTCAGCCACCATGCATTTTTATTGAGGATTATTACTCATCAAAGATCATTACACAGATAGAATTAAGTTTGTATAATTTAAAAAAATAGGTTTTTGTCTATCGTTAATTTTCAGTTGAATACAAACATAGTGTGTTTGTGTCTTGAATGTTTATCTTGAACGAAGCGTTACATTTGTACTATTCAGGGACCACTTGATCATACTATGTGTGACTTCTGGCAGATGACCTGGGAGCAGAAATCTAGAGCTGTTGTTATGTTAAACAGAGTCATTGAGAAAGACACAGTGAGTGTTGCAGACTTAGCGTTGTTGTTTCACAGCACTTGCATGACTTTTTGACATCAGCACATCATACAGTTTGTAGCACTGTGATGAAATCAAACACCTCCTAGAGTTCTAGCAATTAAATGGCCTACATCTAGATATTAAAATAAAGGAAGAGACAAGATGTTGTCCCCATTGTTTATAGCTTTAATAAAATCATCTGACATAAAATACATAAGCCTTAGGCCAATATGAGAGCCTTCAATTCAAGAAAACAAAAAAACAAGTGAAGACTCGCTCTAAGCAGAAAACACCATTAGTTAAATTATCAAAGAGACACTCCAGGACCGAAGTTTTAAAAGTAAATTAGTACTAATACATAAAACACTTAATCATAATCTGTTAAAATACAGGTACTCAGAAAGCCATTTAGAATAAAAACACATTTCTTATTCCATATCAAACTTATCTAAGTACTGGATCGAATTTTGTAACCAAAGACTTAGGAGAGTTTGAATTTGAATTTCTAATTAACATAAACATAGGATATAAAAATAGGCTTTTTAAAAAAAAATTAATATGTAATTTATAATTATAATTAGAATGTAATCATCTTCTTTTTTGAAGTAACATCTGTATTATATAAAATAAGAATTATAATTAATTGCTTTCAATCAAAAGACAATTTTATTTTCTGATCCAAACTTGATTGCTGTGTCTCCAGTGGAAATGTTCCCAGTATTGGCCTCTGGGCTCAGACTATGGGAAAGAAGATGAAATGTATTTTCCTGAATGCGATCTGAAGGTGACTCTGTTAAGTGAACAAGACTCTCTCCACTTTACCCTCAGGACTCTGGAACTGGAGAGAGTGGAGGTAACTTTGGCGAGTGTCCAACTACTTTATGTTTTGGTTTAGAACTTAGGAAATAATGTACACTTAATGCACTCATGTAAAAACTTTGTTAGACAAAATTATATGTGTACAGATTCTTTTTTTTTTGTGTCTTTTAATTTAAGAGAGAGTCAATAAAACATTCTTTAGGTGGTTGCTCTAATTATTGTTTTCAACACTGCTGTCATTTCAGACAGGAGACAAGCGAGAAGTATTACATTTTCACTACACAACTTGGCCAGATTTTGGAGTACCCTCCTCTCCGTTTGCGTTTCTTCATTTCCTTCATTGTGTTCGGAACACTGGCTCTTTAGAAACAGATGTGGGCCCAGCTGTTGTACACTGCAGTGCTGGTATTGGACGCTCAGGGACCTTTTGTTTGGTAGACTCTTGTCTTGTTTTGGTAAGTGGGTTTAATCTGTTTAGAATGTTGATTTGTTTTTCCACATTAGGAGAGTTAATAAACTGATTGCTGTGATATGTCTCTCCTAGGTTGAGAATGAAGGCAGCCTAGATAGTATCAATGTTAAAGAAATGCTCCTCCAAATGCGGTCTTATCGCATGGGTTTAATCCAAACTTCAGATCAGCTGAGATTTTCTTATCAAGCCATCATTCAGGGAGCCCATGAAATATTACAGAATGGCAGTCTTGGCAGTCTGTTGGTGAGTTTGCCTTTTGGAATATATGTGTTTGTTGTTAATAATTAAGTAGGATCTCAAAAACTCTGGCTAAAGTTGGCCAAAGTACCGGTAAGCCCCAGTTTTTGAAAATGCTGGATTATCTGGAAATAAGGTTACAAAATAAAAATACAGTAGTGGTATATATTGTTTGTATGAGAACAGAACTGCCCAAATAACTAACAAAAAATAAAAAGTACATTATACAAAAGCTGTCTATAATATAAATTGACTGCAAAAACTGGCAACGTTTCTTGATCAAGAAATGAAAATTTCACTGAGTGCTTTACTGGGTCATCACAATGGTACTGAAGAAAAGAAAGTCCATTACCAATTGCCTGGTCATGTGGTATGCGCGCTGGACTATCGATCTTGATGGTCTCAGGTTTATACCCTGCCCACTGCCATCCCCTTTCATCCTGTGGGAGTGTTACAAATGAAATGAGGTTGCTTGTAAGAGTACCCCATGTTACATATTGATGGTCTCAGGTTTATACCCTGCCCACTGCCATCCCCTTTCATCCTGTGGGAGTGTTACAAATGAAATGAGGTTGCTTGTAAGAGTACCCCATGTTACATATTAATGGGGATTGATTCTAAAAGAGCATGCCACTCAATATAACAAAATTTTGATCAATTAATTTACCTATTAGGAGGTATAGCTAAAAATATTCAACTAGAATTATAGCTAGATTTAGATATTTTAGATCAACAGATCAGTGTTAAAAGTGTGCTGGCACATTCGTCCAGAGGTGTACTGGTCCCTTCTTGTACTGCCTAGGTTATTAGGTATAACCTCCAGGTATACAATTAAACTAATGTATGCAACAAAAGACTTTACAAAGTCGCAGGTAAACATATATACAAAGTTTATTTACATGAGTAAAAAAAATGTGTAAATAAATGGCCATCAACTCACAGGCAGACACAATAAAAAGTAAACAAAAGATACTCAAAAATAGTATGGCACACAGACCTAGTCATATGTTACATTATAGTCACATTCTGGAGATCACACATCAGTGAAGAAAAATACAGGTCACAGGCCTCAGGTCAACTTATGACCACTTTTGACCATTCTGGGTTACAGGCTTCAGGCTGACACTGGCCACTTTTAGTCAAAAAAACAAAAGGGTCATGATGAACTATAGGCTTCATGGAAACCTATGAGCCTGCAAGCTTCATAGAATCCCACCTATAGACATCCGTTTGGTAAAGCCCATCTGATGATTCAATACAGGTTGAACCCCTCAGACACAAGGCTATAAAAATATGTAAAGCCCATCTGATGATTCAATACAGGTTGAATCCCTCAGAGAAAGGTTACAAAAATATGTCACGTTTGGGAATACCCCAGGATGCAGAACATCAGTGTAAAAATATACTACCTGGAAATCATTTGAGGCTATATCTACAAATAAATACATTATATAAAATACAATAATACTAAAGATATACTTAGCCCAAAGATCTCCAGAGCAGGGCACACTTCTCCTAGTACCCCATGACACACGACCACTAACAGAAAAAATACTATTCACAACACAGGTCAAGTGGTCAAGCTGGTAACTCAGGAGCAAGTGGGAACTAATCACAGTTTGCATGGCCTTAAATAAACTTCATAAGGGGAATCACTCCTAACTTTACAAGCAATCAAAAATAGTTAGTTCCCCATTATGTAACAGGGAGGTTTGGACTAGGAAGTAGATTATCTTAAACTCTCAAAGAACATACATTTTACAAAACGAAACCTTGGTCTAAATACTAGAAGGTAATTCTGACAGGCTTTAATTCTCACTAAAATGGTATTTTAGGAGCTAGAATAGTAGTGTGCAGATTTTTTTTCCCCATGCCAGAGTGTGGCTAAGTTATGCCAGGTTAAGGTTATGTAGCATAGAGTTGTCTGGATTCTATTGCATTTCTTACAATGAGGTAGCATAAAAAGAATTTTAATAATTGTGTACATTGAATTATATACCAGTAGGAGTACAAGTAGTCGTTTACTCATTGGATTCGTCATTTAAAGCTCTCCAACAATTGGAAACACTTACTTATTGTAATATTTATGTGATTGCGTTCTTTTATATTTTGTTTCTCACTTCTAGTTTTCTGACTCTACTAATCAGAATCATTTAGAACATCCTCCAGAACCACCTGAAAGAACCAGTAGCCTGCGCACAGAGCTCTTCGAGAGTGAGCCCCCACCCATTCCACCCAAAAAACGCCACGCAGGAAAACCAGAAAAATACGAACTCTTTGCTGAAGAGGAAGAGAGTGAAGAAGAGTATGATAACCTTGTGGAAAGTAGATCGGATAGCCCTGACTTCAGTCAAATGGACTCTGGAAATGACAATCTGGAAGTGGAACATAATAGTATAACAGTGGAACACAACAGTCTGACAGGAGAAAAGGATAGTCTGCTAGAGGAAGAAAGGTAAATTTTTAGTTTGGTGACATTTAGATTTGCAAGATGACATCAACACAGTTAATCTGGTAGGAACACGTAAAAATGTGACGATACAAATGGTCAGGAATTATTTTTCTTCATTTAGTTTGATTAAGGAACTCATGAGCTCAAATCTTATTGATTTTTTGGGGCATCAAAATACATTTAATTAAATTCTGTAAAGTGGCAACATTTGATAAGATGAACTTAACAATTGTCACACTTCTAACTACTTTAAAATGCTTTCATATTCATCCAACTTTCTTCAGACTAAATAGAAGTTAAACTCTTTGAAATGCTTACAGATTCTGTTATGTTCAGTGTTTGAAGTATCTTTAAATGTTAAACTTTTGTAAAAAAAAAAAACAACCTGTATACTATTATATTATATTATTATGATGGGCTGATTCTTTTAGTACACGCAACATTTACTTGAGTTTTTAAAGTAAAGCACTGATATTCATTTGGTACCTATCAGAAATTAATCCTCTTAATGTCCATTTTTTTTTTTAGGGCAGCAGAAGAGAGGCACAGGATCAGGGAGGAGAGAAAGAAGCAGACGCTTGAAAAACTACGCCAAATGAAAGAGCGGCAAAAGAAGTGTGAGCGGTGGAAGCCCTACAAGTCTTACTTCCGTCCAACTTTTTACTTTGGCCTGGCGGTGCTGGTCGGTGTGGCCGGTGTGTTGATCTACAAGTACATGATGAAACCAAGTGCGGCATAACTCAAGAGGCACGTCACTCCACCTTCATATTCCTAGCATCCATGGCGGGTTATCTGTACTATGCTTGGTTTCTCATCCCCTTTTCAAAGATGATGTTGTTCTTTCTATACTTGTGACTTCAATATGCCGTTATTGTTATATTTTTGCTACAATTTTCTTCCTGTTATTACAACTGCTCTATGTTGATTTGTAAGGTGGCAGAATTCAAGTGATGCCTGTTATTGTGATTGTAGGCTTGGCTGGACAATCTGAACAAACCAAACAGTTGATTAGAGTTTGTTCATTGCCATGAGAAACAGAAATAAGTGTTGGAAGTATTTATTCTGCTTGAAATGTTTACAGATGTAACATATTTACAATACAAATGAGCTATTACCTATATTTGATGTAATATCCTGAACAAGAAATAATATGTATTCATATTGTACTTACAAATGCATGTATCTGCTGGGGGGAGAGGCTGTCGTTTGTCTAGTTAGAATTTTAGATCTAACTTCCTTGAGACATGATTATGGACCACTGGATCATTCAATGGCATTTTTTTTTTTTTTTTTGCTGCTTAGAATATTTCTGTTCCATTGGATTATCAGAGTTCTTAAATTAATGCAACAAGAACTATTCACAACTGCTATAGATTATTTTTAAAAATAAAAACACATTTTTCCACACTGTTTTGACCCAATGTTTTTCTGTCATAATGTTGTAGAGATAAAGAAGAGCCAGGAATGTTAGACTTGGTTCTGGCTTATCCACTGTTGAAGAATGTCAGTAAACTTCCTTATTAGAAGATATCTTTTGTTGTAATCCAATGTGTCATGTAACAATGTAAAAAATACTCATCCAAGTTGCTCAGTGTTTTTGAAATAGCCCCCCAGAATGATAGCGTGGGCTAGTTTTTTCTGTCCTGTTTGATCTGATGTTGTAATGTTGGAGAAAAAAGGTCTAGTTTTTCTGTCCTGTTTGATCTGATGTTGTAATGTTGGAGAAAAAAGGTCTAGTTTTTTCTGTCCTGTTTAATCTGATGTTGTAATGTTGGAGAAAAAAGGTCTAGTTTTTCTGTCCTGTTTGATCTGATGTAGTAATGTTGGAGAAAAAAGGTCTAGTTTTTCTGTCCTGTTTGATCTGATGTTGTAATGTTGGAGAAAAAAGGTCTAGTTTTTTCTGTCCTGTTTAATCTGATGTTGTAATGTTAGAGAAAAAAGGTGATGTAGAGGTTCCTTTTAGTACAAACCAAAAGAAAAATATGTTTATTCTGTTCATCACTTTGGTGTCTATTTTAGTTTCATCCCTGATACACCAAAAGGTTTCTGTTTTGTTATACAACCTTTTATATTTCGATTGGTCAATCTGTATTAGCCACTTTTCACTTGCTACATCCACAAAACTTGGTCACTTTGATTATCTTTTGTCATTTTTATAAACTCATTTCAACCTAGTGCCTTATGATACAACACACAAAGTATCACTCTTGAATAATTTTTTTTCCCCACTGGACAAACAGTAGATCTAGAAGGGAACTGTTCAGTGGTCTTTGAATTGCCATAAATACCTGTTTTAAAATCCTTGATTAATTTAGATGTTTTTAAAAATAAATAACATGATTTTCTAGCTTAGTGCTTTCTTAATGTAGTGTATAGTTTATCCTAGAGGTGTGCTTATTAGATAAAGTAAAGAGCTAGAATTCATCTAATTAGCATGAAGCATTCAGTTCACTGAAAGTTGAAGGTTTTTCATTTTTAGTTCCGATTTAGATGATGTAAATTGATTGAAACAATGATTGTCAAAGTGTTGTATTATATCACTTTTCATGTATATTTACTATAATTATAACATACAAACTCACACTGGCACAATTTTGTTTTTTTTTTTAATGAAATTTCCAGTTATTATTAATCCTTGTTGTTGGTCTGATAAAGAAATGTTCATTGTTAAAATAATCATCATGTTAAAAGTTGAATCCAAATGATGTACCAATGATTTTGAATGTATTTGCACACTTTTATTGTTGTTGATATTGTTCTTATTCACAAGCCTGACACTACTTCTTAACTCTTTCTCTCCGTAATTATTTTTCCACGTTTTGAAGGAATTCTTTGCTCATAACTATTTCACTACCTTATTATGATTGGGCTTCAATAGCTTTGTTGTATTTGGTATAGAATTAAAGGGGAATGCATGCTCTTTTTATATAATTCAAATTCAAGTTTTAAAAATTAAACATTAATTTCATTTAATGAGGTCAAAATCAATGATGGTATCATCGATTAGGAGAGAAAGAGTTAATGTAGTCATCAATACAATTTGCTCTTGTCCGATTCCATTTCATAGCTACACCTTATAAATACGTTTTTTTCATGTTTTTTTTTTGTTTATTCTTCATTATGTTTAATACGTACTAGGCTAATGGTACACATTAAATTATTGGCAGTCACATACTGGTAGTACAATTGAAATAATGACCATTTAATATTAACATGACTTTAAACCAGCATGGGCTGAAAGAAAACAGTATTGGCCTTGTTCCTGTCAACTCAGAGAGCATCTATGTATGTAGAGTTCATATGCCAATGTGTAGAAAGAGCTTTAATTTACTCTCTCCTAAGTTTAGGCAGACTTTTGTTAGATGCTTTTTTTTAAAAATATTTTGTCCTCACAGCTTGCCTCCCTTGTTCTTGTTTACTGATGCAGCAGATATTTACAGTCAAAATATTTCCAATGTATTTTCAACATAAGCTCTCACTTCTCTTTGTACATGTATAATGAATCAATGTTAAACTTTATAAATATTCAATTCTTCTATCAGATTTTCTGTATTGAGACTATAGAATTAAAAAAAAACATTTTCTTAAAATTGCTTTTGTATGCCATGTATAGTGCATCTTGATGCTGCTGTGGACCTGTGGGATATCTGACAGGGATTTCATGTTGCCTTTATACAGTCAGCAAAAAAAAAGTTACATTAATGTGAATGGAAAAGCCACAACTACTAGCCAATGTAGTGATTAAATAAAAAAAAAAAAACACAACACAGGAGTATTATAAAAGATATATTATATACTACATAGTTTTTTTTCCCAATGTTTCAGATATCACATTACCATTTGTATTACAAGAGTTCAATGACATGCTTCAGGCACATCACTTTCTTTGGCTTTAGTACAAGATGATGCTCATCAGAATGTTCACTGATTTTCTATTGGAAATGCTTCATCAGATAGAACCACTGGCAGGAGATCACCACACGCCACAGAACGGGCACAACCATAGACATGTCTGGAACATTTTAATAAAGACAAAGAAATAAGTTTGACACTTACACATTCCATTTCATAATTATTAGAATAAACTTGCAATCAAACGAAATCGCTAGCTTCAACAAACTTACTTGTCAAATTTATTTTTATTTACAACGGTGCGCTGCAGTTGCCCGCATGGAAGACACAAGTGAAGGTGAGTGTGTTTGTGAGCTCTGTTCTCTTGAAGTACACGAGGATAGCACTCAGCTGGAAGGAAGAGTTCCACAATTAGAATCTTAAGGAAGAGTTCCACAATTAAAATCTGAACTAGTATTTAAGTATGCAATAAAAAAGAAAGCCAAATTTAAGTCTCTGATGAGCTAAACAGAACCCACATTCTGCTATGTGAAAATAAGATCCAAATCTAAAAATAACCAACACTAAATACACCCATGGTTAGCCTTGTAATTGTGTGTTTGAATTAACTTGGTTGTTTAGCATGAAACATCTTTAAAAATTCACAATCAACCCAGCACGTCAGCAGTACGTCAAAACTTTTCGGAGTCAAAAATTGGTGAAGTCAAAAACTAAGGTTTCCAGTTCTAGTGATGGAGACAGTGAGAGCTCTAATGATAATATACATCTATATCAACAGGAAGCAATAAAAAGGTGGGAGGGGAGAGGAGCTAGGTCCATAGTATGAAAAGCTGTGTTCAGTTTTAGGGAACAGGTTCAAGGCCTAAATAGCAAGATAAATGAATAGTTCATATTCAAACCATTTTGATTTTTTTCCATACATGAATAGATACATATATAACATGAAACTTCTGAGTGACATTTGTTTCTTGTCGTCATTTATCTATATACCAAGCAATTTTTCTTCTTAAGAAGCATTTCTTATAAACCCCAACCCAAAGTCCTTAATACTTTAAAGTACCATAACCAGTCTGCCAAGTACCCATAACATTGTGAGTATGGTCTGCCAAGTACCCAAAAGAATGTGTCTATCACAGGCTATCAAAAATTGGTAAGATAATATAAGAAACATAAACCTACTGTTGAACAAATTAGTTTTGGACTGATCAACTACAGGTCAACTCAATATTTTTCTTGAACAGTTCAACTAGAGATCGAATTTTACAGTATTTTTCTTGGACTGATCAACACAACTACAAATGATCTAAACTGTGTCTCAAAATTCTACCTTTATTTCTGGCTCCTTTTTTAACAATGAGATAACTGTACTTGGTTAATTGTCTGGGTTTTTCTTTCTAAAAAAAACAAAAATTTTGTTTCATTTTAATAAACAACTTTGTCAAAGTCAATCTTTTGAACAATTTTAAAACAAATTAAAAGTATCCATTTGTACACCTACATCTGTGACAGAAGTCCAGATTGGCTCATTCACTATACACTCGGTGAAACAATGTGTGTTTTGGGATACTCTTGGACATGGTTTGTTGTGGGGACACTTCAGAAAAACAAAATAACAATTTCATATTAGCATTAAAGGACAACAAGTTTCAAACAAAGAAAAATATTTTTTTTCACTAGATTCATCATGTTGAAATTTTATGAAGTCAAAAACCGTACATACTGGAGCAAATATATGTCCATGTAATTTCTCTTCTGAAGGGTCAGTAAAAACCTGATAAATGAAAAACAAAATAATTAAAAGGCCAGACAAATACAAACACTTTATTTTTAATGAAGTAGTTTTTAAATGACTTTTTGTCTGATGTGAGTTGTAACCATACTTTGGAGTGAAAGTACTTTTCTAAAAATAACATGAAGATAGTGAAAACAGTAGCTTACAACTTTAACTTTAAATCAATCACTGAGCATTGAAAAAAAAGTATTTATCCACACACTATTTCACATTCTTTATGTAAACTTTAAAGTTTGATTGGTTTTTTTTTTTTAGCAATAAGACATTTCAGCCTTTGAGGTCAATTGTGGAGTCCAAAAGAGGCATAGCTGCAAGTTTTAAAGAACTTATAGTACAAAAAAACCTGTCCATGAGTATAAATCCAGCAATTAAAGTGACCAAATAACCATAAATAGACCAAGTTACCTGAGTCAGATAGTCTCTAGCCTCATTAATAAGTGTGAAACCAGCACCTGTTCCATTTTCTACTAGTACCTGGAGAGTCGATAAAAAAATGTAACTAAAATATATCAAGATAAAAGCTAAAGAAAATAATGTTAAGTTTAAAACTCGTATAAAAATGCACATTATGACTTGACTTGTGACTTGAGTGACAAGAGAAAGCTGCTGACTTTATTTTCTTGCTTGCAGATTCTTAAGTTTTAACAAAATAAACAAAACACAAATCATTCATGAATCAATCACTTTCTATAAGACAGATCAGTATTACTTGTTTTGACCAAACTGAAAGATTGTCTGAGGCCCAGGCAGACAGGCCAAGGCTTTAAAAATACAACCCTGACAACTTCTACTAAGAAACAGTAAAACACAGCCACCCCACAGCAAATAATATTAGTGTCAGTAAGACAGAATGAAGACTTGACTTGCAAGAAATAAATGAAAAATTACAACTACAAACACATTTAAAGTCTAAAATAATTTCTTCTAAAAAAAAATTTAAACTGCTAAATATTCACTAAATTCGACAAAGGGAATATGTCTTTAAAACTACTGTTATATCTGAAGAAAACCAGAACAGAATTAGACAGCCCAGTGGTGGGGCAATAAATTACAAAACAATCTTTCAATCAAAAAGAAATAGAAATACAAGAGCAAAAAATGAAATTTGAAGCAGTAATGTACGACTTTTTCTGACACAGCTAGAAAGAAATCTCATGTCCAATAGAACCAAATTATCTGCAGTTTTAAAAAATACTGGTTACGCAAACGGTCACAGCCCCCTTAGGACAAACATCAAGGGACAGATGAGATGAACGTTTCAAAGGACTAGAAAGCACCAAATCATTATTCATAATAATTCATAACTTGGAAATCACTGTGAGAACAGCCTAGTACAGAAAACATTGGTCTTAACTAGAGGCTGGAAAAAAATCTTCTTTCATTAAGATGTGGACAGTGAGACAATATTAGCTGCAAACATTGCTATTCATTTTTACTTCCATCCTGATTTATCACCATGACCCTAGCCATGACTTACCAAGTAATTATCAGCCATCTCCCAAAGGTTGTGTACTAGTTGTAGTCTGTCTTGGTATGTTGGCTCCTCTATCAGCATGTTGGCACTCACCACTAGGGAGAATTTATTCTGTTTGTTTGCAAGAAAATAGTAAGTACTAGTACCCAAACATTTTTAAACAGACTAATTATTTAGTAAGATAGAAAAGTTCCCCTTTCAGACCTTGTGATCTATAGCGCAGATGATGTAAAGGTAATCTGTTTCTGTGGCCAACAGTTAAGGAGTAGGGTGTCATGTGGCCTTTACCTGGAGTTGGACTGGTTATCAGAGGCTATTTAACTGTATGCATAGTATAGGTAGCAAAGTGTTTATAACCATCTCAGAATTTACTCAAGTGACACAATAACTTGTTTTTAAATGATAAAACACAATAACAAGTCCACCATTAGCTAAGGAAAACCAATACACACTAACAAAGGACATATATTGTAGCGTCTCTCCTACTATCAGGGCTCTCTTCACACTGCACCACACGACACAACGAACTTACAGAACCTCACAACTCAGGGCTCCAAAGTAACAGTAACAGTTTAATTTCAAATACATTACAAATACTGTACAGTTGGCAACAACATCACACTAACTGTCCAAAACCTAGCCTTGCTCCGCCTGACTTAACACACCGACTGTTTCTAACTTCGCCTCGTCTGGTCACATTGCGAGGTAACGTGAAGTCCCATCTTTCTGACACACTCGCTCTTATATAGTGTCTCTACTGGCCTTCTAGAATTGGATGAAACGTTCTTGACCACTAAGAATGATCACAATCGCTGTGACTTGCGTGCGTAATATTTACACACAGGTCGTTGCCGAACTGGCGTGTACTGTCACTGGTCTCAGTTGACCGCTCTTCCTCCGCTGGACTGTGGCGATTAGGGTAGGCTAAAAACACACAGCACTACCCCCATCTGTGTCTGTTTACAACAATATGTTAAACTAGAGTGACACTCCAACCTTACAACATACCACTGCTACTCCTGTAACACTGAAGTGTCAGACTTTTATTTTCATTTGTCCATCAGACAACTTATGAAAATATACTTTAGAAGGACTAAAATGTTATGTAATAAAATTAAAAACACAACTTTTTTTTAAATAGACCTTGAATTAGGTGTACTAAAAGACTGGCTTCAAAAGAAAATTGTGCAGCACTTACAAGCTATTCAAAACATCTTTAGATCAAGGCAAACAAAATTCAGCATTATTATGAATCGATTTTCTTTTTAGTACACCTTTTTTTTAATTAAAATTTTTATTTTCTTATTAATATATTTAAATGAAATTTTTTTTTCAATTCTGTAAAGTATAAAAACAGGGTTATCTAACTTGGTTAAATCAATATTAGAATATGCATGCCCTGTTTAGGACCCCTCAACTCATGAAAACAAAGAAACTAGAACAAATGAAAATAGAGCTGTGAAATTTATAACCAAAGAATATTCCCATTTGAGTAGAGAAACAGCATTAGTAAAATCAATTAACTTAGAGACACTTCAGGACAGAAGAATAAAAAAGAAATTAGCTATAATACATAAAACACTACACCATAATGTAGAAATATGAAAACACAACCTAATAAAATACTCAGAAAGACCTAAAGGAC